CCTGTAGTTTCAGCAGGCAACTTACAGCCTATGCACTTAATAGCATTTAATAAAGAGTTTTTGCAAGCTAACTAAAAAACATTTGAAGAAAACACTGACTTCAACTCTTAGCTCTGTAGCAGAATACGTATAATGTCATCCCATCTGCTTTTGACAAAGTGCTACTCGATGATGTCCTTAATAATGCCAAATAATGCCAATTTTATTTCCTCAAGTTGTTTACAGCACTTGTGAACTCAGGATTATGTGAAGCAAAACTGAAGTCTTTGGAATGCTGGGTTAATAGTGATGAGTTTACAGGAAGGCTGTAAGAAATTGAAAGGCTGTGTGTGTCATTCACCACTGCGGCTTTGCAGCATAAATAACAAGAAGTGGCATTTGTTCAGAGTTTCAGTTTTTAAGACTTATGTGTGATCACAACTGGAAAAAAATGAGATGAAAAAGGATTTTATCAGGTCTTCCAAAGTCAGTTCTTATTTTTAGTTTTTGTAGTCTGTGCCCTGTGCCAGTAATAATGACTTCTGTTGTTGGGGCAGGCTGTTCAGTCAGTGTTCTAACTTTCCTTTCTAAAACCTTATTGAAAACAGGACAGAAACAAGTGCTGGGGCACTTCTGTTCAAAATTATTCTCATGAGTGTAAATGTCTCAAGAGAAGGGAAGCAATGTTGGTGATGTTACTGTGTCTAGGCACTTTCTTATATGTTTTGGCTGCTTTCAAGTCAGCTCCTCAAGGCACTGTGACTGAAGAGCACAGTGGCTGAGCTGAGGAGTCTGAACTGAAGGGGTGACTCAGCAACAGCAGTCATCTGAAGTCCTCCAAAATTGCGTTGTTTGCAGGAAGGAGGGGAAAAGAGGCTGGCCATGATTTTTATCTGGAGACAGATGAGATAAAAATTTGACCCAGTTTTTGGGCTGCTTTCTTCAAGAAAGACATTGAGACTCTGCAGCATGTCCAAAGAAAGGCAACAAAGCTATGAACAGTCTGTAACAGGAGTCTTATGAGAAACAACTGAGGAAACTGAGATTATTTAGTACGGAGAAGAGGAGGCTCAGGGCAGACCTTATTGCTCTCTACAACAACCGGAAAGAAGGTTATGGTGAGGTGGGAGTCATTCTCTTCTCCCAGGTAACAGTGATAGGATAAGAAGGAATAGCTGTATGTTGCACCAGGTAATGTTCAGGTTGGATATTAGAAAAAAACTTGTTCCTAGAGTGAAGCATTGGAACAGGCTGCCCAGGGAAGTGGTGGTGTCAGTGTCCCTAGAAGTTTTCAGAACAAGGCACTGAGCAATGTGGATTAGTGGGTGTGATGGTGATGCGTTGATGTTGGACTAGATGATCCTAGTGGTCTTTTCCAACCTTAATGATATTATAATTTTTAAATATAATCCATGATGTTTTCACCATTTATTTGAAAGATAAGTCACTGATAGATGCTACCATCGCACTTTTTGAAGCATGGATTTAAAAATGATACTGTTGCTACAGGGACAGGTTCTCAGTAAAAAATAAAATAAGGAATTCAGAGTGCAGTACTCCTATTACTGATGGTATGTAAGCCACTTGAAGGGCAAGAGGTGTCTGGCAGAGGGGCGGCTGTGGCTGTTTTATGAGTTTTGAACAAGTCCAATTTAGTTCCTGCATTGAAGAAAGTTTGGATCATCTTTTCTCCTGAAATGTTTGCTGTGCCACGTAGCTGAACTCAACACAGTGTGTCTGCGCTCCAAAAGTAAGAATATTCCTCCCACACAGGTACTGCATTTACTTAACTGAAAGAGGCATCAGAAAGGCTTTTATTTTCTGATAGCTTGTGCTGCAAAAATAGAAAACAGTCCTATGTAGTTACATTAAGAGCCTTTCTATTTAGAGAATACTATGAACTCCAGGCAAAGGGATCTTGAAATATATTTTCTGTTGCTTGTATAAAAATTTTATGTGCTTGAAATTTCTCAGATTTGGAAGTTTCATTCTGAGCAAAAGTCATTTCCCTCTGCTGTGTGCTGTAATCCACAGGTCTTCATGCAAGCATTTTGCCAGGATATGTTACTGGTAAAAAATTTTGCTGAGTATAATCATGTTCAGCTAGGAAATTTGAATTCTTTTCATATCGTAATGTCTACTGAAACACTGTCCTGAGGTTTGAGCTTGGATTGTGAAGATTTCTCTGACCTTGTATTCTTTTTTTTTTTTCTTCTATCCACAAGGATAGAAATACTGATATTCACGCTAGTGCAAGATCAGTTAATGGGCAGTAGCTGTTGATGAGAAGATATTGAGTAAAGAGAAAAGCACAGCTGAACATAGGACAGTGACAGCTTGATCAGAATGGTATCTTGTACAGTATGTCAAACATGAATAATTTCCTGTCTGTAGCAGCATTTTTTTTTAAGCAATTGGAAATCTTATTGATCTACACAGGATTTAAAATAATATGATCTCAGGGTTGGGGATGTGATTTCTGCAAAAAGGTACTGTTGCTGCTTAGTGTCAGAGCAGAAGCCACCTGTCTGCACTGCATCTGAGCTTGTATGAGCAGTCAGACCTCAGCTGACTTGAATGTTTTCTGGTGTGACACTGGAATGGATGAACAGAACTCCGCATGATCGTAGGATCATAGAATGGCTTGGGTTGTAAGGGAGCTCAGATTATCCAGTTCCAACTCTCTGCCAAGCTGAAACTCAGAAGAGTGAGAAGTTGGTGGTACAACCTTTACATACTGGATTTCCTATAATTAAATATTTAGCTGTACTGCAGCTTGAGAATTCTGGGATATGTAGTTGCTGTAGTCCAGTTTTTCTTGAACTTAATGGCTGTTTTACTTGTCATTTTATACCCTTCTTGGGTAAAATGTTGGGTAGCTTGTTTAAGGTCATGCATGCAGAAACGCCTATTAGATCACCTATTGTGTGTAAAGTTAGCTTAGCATTGTTAGTGCAAGTAACTGGGGCAGCCTGGGATTTGAAGGCCTATTGTATTTCTATGAAGGTCTAAATAACAGTGATAAACCTTGACTACTGATGAACTGTAGACAGTATATCCTGTGGCTGGCCAACATGTGCGTGTGTGTACTTTCATGCTCTTAGTGTTACAGTGTAGTCCGTAGTGGTTTATAAACAAGCCCATTAATTTAAGTTAATTAACATGCTCCATCATCTTTGTGAGACAGACAAGCATTGATACTTTATATACATCCTTAACAATACGTAAACTGGGTGAAGGAACTTGAGAATTTCTTGGATCATACAGTAAGTTAATAGAAATACAGAATCTAGGCCTCTGACTCTTTGATCTCTGGTCTTAGCCACTATTTAGTATGTATAATGCAAAATAAGCTAATACATTTGTTATACTTTTTCCACTATAGTAGCAGCATGCCTTTCATTCTGCTCATTGCATGTGCAGTCTGCCGTGCACTGGGCAATGTTGCAGAAGTTAAGGCAACTTGTATTAGCACTCGTTTCAGCTGCACAGTTTCTGCTTCTTTTGAACATGATAATAATGCCCAGCATGGCAGTAACCCTGCTATGCTTCATTCTGCAGTGTTTATCATGAATTTTCCACCTGCCCGGAACTACTCTTTTCACATGGCCTTCTTTCTTGTCTTCTCTTATTTGTCTAAAATCCTTTTGGAAGCAAACAGCAGATTTTGCCAATTCTCAGATGAATTTAAACATGCATTTTACTCTTCCACCTCTCCAACTCTTTCTTTATCTCTTCTTCCTTCACCTCCCTTTCCTTGTTTCATCCCAAGTGTATGACAGGTGATCAACTTACCAAGAATTATTTTCTGCTATCCAAGACTTGTGCCCATTAAGTTGCTGGGAGGGAGCATCATCTTGTCTGAGTCAGCAGATAAGCAACGTGGGCGTGTTGCGGATAGCCTCCTGAGTACTGCTTATTCAGCTAGAGAAGTTAGATGGTGATTGTTTAGTTGTTTCTGAAAATATGTTAATTTTGTTCTGAACATTAAATTAGAGCAGTACAGTAAATGCAGAACTGTTTTGCTTCAGCTACAAGACATTTTTCCAATGTCTACTCCATAAACATAAAGCATTCTGAAAACACAACTGTATATAAGGTTATAAGATCCTTTCATTAAATTATGAATCATACATGTATCTTAACTTAATAAAGCAAAAATATAAAGCTAAAATATTTATTATGAAATGCCTTACATACGACAAGGCCAGAGTGTTAGAAATTGCTACCTGATTTGTGGTCGATGCTATTCATATATATATATAAATCATTATGCTGTACTCTAACTTAAATGTGTGTATACATACTTATTATTGCTTGGATTGATTTTAATGTTTTTGGAACGGACTGTAGCTGTGGCAAGTGTGATTATTTAAAAAGTAGAGCTCGGTGTCCCTAGCATTTCAAAAGTGAGCTCTGCTGTCCTGAATCCTTGCAAGACCTCAGTTACGTCCCTTTTGCATTCAGACAAAGCATGTCGGTTGCCATCTAGTGACTATAGGCAGGTAGCTAATTCATACAGCTATTCCCTGGAGAGGTTGCAGATCCCTATTGCAGCCTGGGAATGTGTTTTGAAGAACATGGTACTAGTGCTTGGAAGTTGCATGCAAAGTAACAGTCCCCATGTATGCCACTTCTTTCATGTTGGTAGTACACAGGTACCAAACCATGTCTGGAGGAAGTAGAGATGAAAAAAAGTTTAAGGAATTAAGCAATCATTGTTATTAATGAGCATTTTGGTTATTTAAGACAGCTGACACCTGCCAGCTTTATAAAAGAAGAAATGCATGCTGAGAATCTTTCTTTCCTGTATGTAATGTCTCTTAAGTGACATTAAGCACTATAAGCCAAATTTTGGTGGTGATTCTCTCTAGAGACACCAAGTCACTGCTGCTGTAAGATGCAACTATATGGATAGATCCCATCTAATCTGTATTTGTCATCTTGATTTAGAAAGCGCATCCTTTGAGATTGCTGGCTTTAAAAAAGTGTAATGATTTTTCTGTCCCTTTCTCTTCTAGGATATTAAACACTACATTATTTGAACTGTATGAAGCTCTGGGCAATTTTCCTGCCTTGTGGGTCTTCAACGTGCTGCTTGTGGTTCTTCAAATTCTGCACTGTTTTTGGTCTTATCTAATAATAAAGGCAGCCTACAAAGCCATTTCAAAAGGCAAGGTAAGACAGCATTGATAGACTTCTGTTACTATTTTAACTGTTTCAGTATCAGTACGTGGTCACTTTTGGGGTACTTTTTCTTTTTGAACCCTAATACATTACTAAACATGCCAGTTCTGTTTTTCTTCTTCATGCTGGTTAGAAAACTGTTGGCTTCCCAGCTGACAGTGATAATAATAATAATACAAACTGAAATTCTTCTGCTTTTGCTTGTGGCAAGGTTACAAACCACAACCTCTTTTGTTTTTTAGTATTTATGAGACTCTGGGAAGGACCAGAGGATCCCCCCCAGCAAGACTGCTTGAGATAAAATGTAATATCTTGTTAGCATTGTTACATTTGATGGGGAGATGTAATTCAGAAAAAATGCTAACCTCATTCCACTTTGTGTGCACTTTGTCTGCGGAAACAACACTTGTATTTAGACTATGAATGTTATGCCTAAGGATTGTCTAAAGTACAGTGTACTCTGTCCTTAAGGACTAGAGCTCATACGTAATTATTTTAGATGTGTAACCACTCCCAAATGAAATAGGAACTGTTCTGTAGATAACTGCTTTCTTTGAATGTACTTCAGAACTTGGCCTGTTGTTTTGCACCCTCTCTTACTCTGCTTGTCTATCCTGTCCCTTGTGCTGCATTGGAAGGCTGGAAAGTGGAACCCCTTGCATGTAAGTTTCTTTACATTCACTATGCAAAAGATACATTCTGCAAAATACTGGAGTGTTTGTTGTTGCTTTTGTTTTTGTTCTGCAGTTTCTGTCTGATTTATTTATTTATTTATTTATTTTTATTCATCGCTTGTATTTAGATATTTGAAGGAAGGCTGTCTTTTAAGGCTGTTTTTACTTCTTGTCTGTGCATCACCTAATATTCATAGTATCTTGGTGTTACAACCATTTTTGTACATAAATATTGGCAGGATAACAGCTACTCTGGTACCATTCAGAAGGCATACATGAGAATATACGTCCTCTGCCTTGTAGTTCAACCAAGGAAATTTAGGTTGTACAAAAGCAGAGTCAGACACTTGCAGCAAGATAGTGACCATGTTAAAACTGCCTATACATTAATCTAGGACTCTTTCTCTAGATCTTAACATTCTTATTCATTTGCAACCACATCCTCTCAGTTTCTATGGTAAAATAAGCAGTGCTATCACAGTGCATAATGTATTACTGTTACCCACCTTTGAAACAGCCCAGCGATTTATTATCACTAAATTTGTAAGTACTCCTGATAATCTGTTTCTTACTCTCTTTTATGCTTCAGAGTTTTTTAAACCTATATATATTTTTTTTTTAAACACCCTCTTCAGGAATTACTCCAGTTGATTATTTTGGAGATAAATAAAGAGAATTAGGTACTGATTCAATATAGATTCATACCAAGGTTTAAGTGCAAAGACCTTGGTATGTTACTTTCTACATATTTTTTAAGTGGCTACATCATAGGATTTCCTTTTGATTAACTGGCTTTTGAGTATACCCTACCAGAATATTTAACAGCAAATCTACTATATTAAGAGAACTCAAATGATGGTAGAATTTTCAGGTGATCAATCTCCCCTCACTTGATCTAATGTACATCTCACTGAACCAATTCTCTTTTGTCTGATAAAGGTGTAATTCTAAGTGTATTTCTATATCTGCAACAGCTGTAATATAAAAGTTGCTGTATATGAGAGAGACTAAAGTAGTCTGTTAATTGAAGCTGTGTAGTATGGTGTGGAATTTCCAAGCACAGCTGAAGTCCAATTTCACAGATGCCAGAATTGTGACGCTGCTAGACATTGACACTAAAATCCAGCTATACAGGTATAAGGAAATATATATATACACCTGTATATATACCATATATAGCTGGTATATATATATTCCATATACTGTATAGCTGGATTATAGTGTCAATAGGTGTGTGTTTTCTTTTTTCCTCCGCTGGCAAACAGTGGTGTTGCTCAGGTTTATGATATAAGGTCAGTAGCAGCGCTGGGAACCCCAAAGGGAAACAGTCATTTCTGAAGCAACAACTAGACAAAAGAATTGCCTCCAGGGCTTTCTGGAATAGAGAAGAATTACTGTAATTAAAAATTATGTTAAGTGATATTCCCTGCTATGTGGTTGTTTTGATTTCTTTGGGGAAAAGTCTTGCCATGTGTTTTCTAATTCTTGTGTCCATTCACTGTTGTAAAGTCTACTGTAACGGTCAGATGTGGTGATCTATACAGTATTGGTAGATGCTGACAGAATTAGGAATCTCAGCTATACAAACAGGGATACAAACAGGAGTGGAAAGCTGCATATTTAAGCTTGCAGGCGACTTCAACTTCATGCCTCTTTCTGTTCATCTGATATAATTCTACCATTTTTATAGATTTTCAAGCCCACACTGGATAGAGATCTGTGATAAACTCTTACCTTATTGCTAACACTGCTTTGAGCAGGAGTTTAGGCATAGACTTCCCAAGGTCTCTTCTGACCTGAATTATGGGCAGTTATTGGGAATTATATGAGACACTGGCTGTGCCATTGTTACCACCTGGGGGAAAAAAAGAAAAACTGAAAAACCCCAAACCCTTAAGAATTGAGCAGGCAGGGCTTTTTCTTTGCAGGATTTTCTTTTCTGTTCTCCTTTTTCCTCTCCTTATCATGCCTGTTGTTTTCTTCTGCACTTCTTGTCCCCCCTCTTTTACTTGTTTCGGGTGCAAAGTCAACTCAGGGATTCTGAAGGGACCTAGTGTTCAGCTCTCAAACTTAATGATCTTCACTTATGACCCTCAACGAGCTCTACTGAAGAGAAGAGTAGACCCTTTAGCCTATGGAGTAGAATTTATAAAGTAAATAAGTATAAATTGACAGGAATTAAGTTCAGCTGGGAATTAGCAGAAAATCATTAGCAGTTAAAGCCAGTGTGTTTTTGAAGCAGCTTTCAAATGGAAAAATTTTGCAGATGATTGAACTTGCTCAATTGCTTGTGTGGTTCCTGTGATAGGAACTCGACTGTCCTGTGTTTCCAACCACCATTCTCATCATTTCTCTAAGATCAGACTGCAGTTACCTGGTTCAGTGAGCTATGTTTAGGCTAATACTTCCACCTTCTACTGCCAGCCCACAGCACATTTCTTGTGAGCTGTATAGTCTCTAGAGAATGACTTAGGAAGTGAAGGGAAAGAGGTTAGTGTGAATATTTTGCTTTTATCCTGACATTATCAAGTCAAAGAGAAGTACCCCAAGGGAAGCATAGGAATCCCTGTACCAGTGATGAGCTTACCGATGTATTGAAGACATAGAAAATAAGGTTGTAGTGGGAGGGCAAAGAGAAGGGGACTAGGCTGAACTAGGGAGTTTGAATTGTTGCTTCCTTTAATAGGTACCAGCCTTTGCCTTGATCACTGTGCTCTTCCCTCGAGATATTACCTTGAATGCATCAGTGCAAAGTTCTTACCTTGCCTCTACTCACAAAGAGTGTATGTACTAGCAGCTGTGTTTGAAGGGAGTTCTAGGCAGGAGGAGAAATGTGCCAGATCTGATACCATTTTCAAATCTCCAACTGAAAACTGTTCGAGTTCTCTGATTCCAGCTTGCATCAAAAAGCTCCATTCTTTCCTTAAAATTGTCTACTGCTTGTTTTTTCTCAAATTCTACAGGTAACAAAGGATGACCGAAGTGACATTGAGTCAAGCTCAGATGAGGAAGAAACAGTACCTCGTTCAAAGACCCTGCACAGTACTATCACCACTAATGGGACTGGTGGTGTCAATGGGACAAATGGGTATCTTACTGGTAGCACATGCTCAGAGGAGCATTAATCTTTGAGTGTCACAAGACATAAACAGGATGAACTGTTTGCTACTGTAAGTAAATTAGAAGTTGTGAATGCTGTTTCTTCATATATCTCAGCATAAAAAAAATTAGGAGTATCGAAGCATTCTGATAGTGCACTGCCATACTCCCTGTTTGTGAATGAAGACGACACATCATTCTGTATACGTAGGTAGGCATGCTGTATGTGTATGTAATTGACACAATGGGAGCAGTATTTTCACTTGTACCATATTTGAAATATTATTTATTCTGTATTCTTTCTGGGAACTTCTGGACAAAAGGGAACATCTATTCTCAAACTTTATCTCTTGGGATTCTCAGTGGTGGAGAGTATCACGCTCTGATCTCTTTTGTCCATTCCTGTTGCTTTTGCTGAGTCTGCTATAAATAATAGCTGCTTTATTTGTTACTTACAAAAGATAGAACATAGCTTTGCAGATTCTAGATCTGCTTCAGATATTTTTGTTACTTTGTGTTTTAAAGTGCTGGTTTTGAAACTGCCTATCGAATCACACTGGCCATTCCTCCAATATAAAGTTTTAAAAGACTGGATTTATATGTTGAATGCTAGGTAATATGATCAATTAGCAATTAGGGAAAAAAGAACCATTGTGATTGTGGAAATGTTACTTTAGAATAACCTAAAATTCAGAATTGGTGGTTAATTGCATTAGGAGTAGTTTTGATTAGTTGTGCAAATGTCCAGAAGCATTGATGTCAGCAGTTAGGATGCACTCATTCTTGCCTTTTATTTTTCCTTGCAATTTTTGACATCTATTATGACAATCAGCTTTTTACACAGATTCCATGTTGAAAGTGCACCATTGTGAATCCAGAACTCACTCCTGAAACTCTTCCAAGCTCATAAAGATGAGAGCAGAGATTGAAAAAAGCAGCAGATGAAGTCATTGCTTCCTTGGACACAGTTTATTCTAGGTATCGTTCTTAGAGACATTGCCACTTTTTTAGTAGGCTGAAGAGAGAAAAGACAGAATGCCATACATTACTAGAAGTAGTTTAAATGCATGCAAACTTCAGCAAAATTCACTTAATATAATTCTTAACATAAAACTTTGAAGGTTCAGCACTATTCTATCACTTTTATAAATAAAATTAAGACTGTCTGCTAAATAATTTTGCTCTCCTGTTTCATCAAAGATATATAAACTGTGTTCCGAAGAAGACAAAATAATACCCCAAATAGGTATTATTTTAACATGATATACTCACTTGTTCCTAGATCAGAGTTTGATATAGGATGCTAAGGATCATAAAAATCTTGCAGGACATTTTTCTGTGATTTGTGATAGCAGTGCCAAAAGTAGGCAAGGTTCTTGGGCAACAGACTCTATGCAACATACTGTTCAACAGTATTGTGTATGTGTACACAGAACCAATGTGCTTATAGACCAAAGACATATATATATAAAAGAAAAAAAAAGAAAAAAATATGGAAGGAAGGAATAAACCAGGAAAAAAAAATCTAACGGCATGTCTTCTGTATTGAAAGGGACTGGAATGCTGCTTTCAGCAGAAAGTCTAGTCCGGGAAATATTTTTTTATTCCTTCTACCTATGCAAAATGGTAAAATAAAGATGGTTTCTGGCATCATAATACATGTTTAAAGACTCTATTGTATACAGAGTCCACTGAAGAAAGTTTAGTTGCCACTTCTCTCTTTTTTTTTGGGGGGGGGGGGGGGGGGGAAAAGCTTTGTTCTATTCCACCTGTGAGTCTTGAAAACTTCTGAAACTTTTATTACTCATAGGCACCGTTTGCACATTAGCAAAAGACACGCTGAAAGTAAGGACAGAGTAGTATGAATGAAAATCGTACCACCTCTTAGTAGAAAACAAAGGTAAGAAAACAAAAAAGTTCTAAATCATGGGAGAAAAAATGTCAGTTTTGCTACTTATGCAGCATTCTTTATTATTCAGCAGTTTCATAGTTTGTATGTCCCTGAGCATATCTGAAGGAGAAAGGAAGTCTTATTTAAATCTCCCTCTCCTCTAAAAGCTTCTTTGCCTCTAATTTTTTTTCATCTGTCTTCTGTGCCTCTGATTTTAATGCAAGTAACACATATGAAGATAGCATGTAATACAGATGAAGATACCGTGATTGCAATAGAAGCTATCCCATCCACAGTATTTGAATTGCCACTGTTTAAGAATTATTATTAAGATTATGCTAAGGTTTTAAAACAAAATGATCTTGGGATTTATTGAATACGTGTTATTAGTTCTGAAATCTGACTTGCTAATTGACCTGGTCATTGAGAATAACAGTATCATAGAATAACCAGAGTTAGAATAGACCCACAGGGATCATTTAGTCCAGCTCCTGGCTCCACACAGGACCACCCACAATTCAATCCCTATGTCTAAGAATCTTGACTAAATGTTCCTTGAATTCTGGCCACATGAGATTGTGACCACTGCTCCACGGGAGATTGTTCCAGTGCCAACCAGCCTCTGGTGAATAGGCCTGAACATGCTTCCTTCATGATGTTCATTTCTATCTCTACTGGATTTCCCTTTTGCAAAGATAGTTACAAAACTGGCATTCTGGCAAATATTTTGTCTTATATGGGGGCAGAATGTTGCTCTAAATTGTCAGTGTACATTTATATTATTGTAACATCTTTGATATCTGGACAGAAAACAGTTCCCATTAACAATCTCCAAACAAGAGGCAGGTAACGTTGGTCCCTGTTGATCCTCACCAGCTCTTTTGTATAGTATTGAGTCAGACCTACAGTCAGTGTTACAAACGCAGTTGACTAGCTGCCTCTGGCTTAGTGTATCCCCATTGTTAAATAATGTAACTTGGATTGAAACTTGGATTGAAATTGGTTTGAATTCTAAATTAAGTTGTATCTGTTATGCACTAAAGCATGTAAATACTTACTGTGGTTCATCTGACCTCCAGTAACTTATCTCCTATAAAACAGGCTTTTCGAAGTCTATTCATAGCAGCTTAGAATAAGTATAAATATGTCTAGAAAATAGGCAGAGTAACAGGGTCAAAAGGCATGTTTGTGAAAATGGGGTGAGAGCAAAGAAGCTTCAAGTACTTAACTAAACTTTGCTAAACAATTTTTGATGGAGATTCATATAATTTTTTATCTGTCCTTACTGAAAATGACCAGGTGTTTTAGTGATTATACTTGGCAGCGTGCTTTGATTCATTGCTTTGGCCAATGGATGTCAAAACTTTGGCCTCATCTTCCAGACAATATCACACACTTGTTTCCTTTTCAGTTGAATTTGTTTGCTTCTTTGCTGAAGAGGTTTGTAAGGTGCTTTTGGAGGCTGTTACATATGTAAAGGATAATCACGCATATTCCTGAAAATGTATTAAAGTGATTCGCATGGCTCATGGTAAATGCGATATCTTAAAAGGTTATGTATATTCATACCTTCTGTAGAATTTAGAAATGAGGGTTTGTATTCTGTAACCTTTTTGTCTTCAACCTTTATGCTCTCTTTCTATAGTACAGTACACGACACAGTGGTTAAGATGTTGAAGTAGAAAAATGAGGAAGTGATGTGTAGAGTTTGTTAGTAAATGGTAGGAATTTTTCTTCTTTCCTTAGCCAGTCCAGAGTATATTAAAATAAATTCAGGTCTCCCTTTGCTTACTGCTTTTCATATTGTCATGTTTTGTACCAGAAAAAAATATATATATTGGTTTTTTTTCTTAAGAAAACAAAACAAACGCAAACACTTAAACATTGCAGAAAATGGAAGAAATATCTAATGAAACAACAATGGTGAACGCTGGAGTGATTTGGGTCTTGACTGTTGTTAAATAGTTCTAGTTCTATAATACCAAAGTGTCCCATGCTGTTTCCTTGTTGCCATTTTGTATTTTTTCTATGCGTTATTTAATTCCAGCAGAGCTGAAACAGGTGTCACAGCTTCAGATATGTTCAGCTCCTGTTTCAGATTGGGACCATTCTGTATGATTGCTGATGCCAAATCCTTTTTCTGAGATCCGAGTACATGCACAAAAGCTTTGCTTACAGTAAAATAATTCTTGTCTTAAATCTGTGTCTGTTTTGAATGAAAATCACTTCACAGTTCTGAATGGACCATGATGGCAAATGCTGTTACTCTGCAGCAAATGTCAGTGATCAACTAAGAAGCATAATGCCTGTTATGTTCATCTTTTCATTAGCTCAGCCTTCCGTATTCTCAGATAAATATGGGCTAACATTGGTTTTCTATAGTTGATGCTTTGGTATTTTTTTAATCTATTTGCTACAACCCATTTTTGTATGTCTCCTACTTGTCTACTACTTGTGACATTTGTTGTAAGAGAAGCTGTTGAATACTTTTTATCCTTCCTGTAATGTAAAACCTGTTAGGCCTAACTTCAGTGTTCTGCAAACTACAGTTGCCTTTAAACCATAAAGAAAAACCAATTTGTATTACTTGTTTTGATGGGTTTGATTTGGAGCAGGGATCTAATGGGAACTTCAGGAAGACAACCTTATTCTTTATTTCTTTTCTTTTTGGAAAACATTTATGGAAGTTTGGAAAAGTGACATATGTGTGTAGCCTTTAAATTGTAAAGATTTCTGACTGCAGTTGCAATGAAAACACAATGTTTGAATGTGTCTGTACAGAATTCTGTTTTTGAAATTGCTTTCAATTTGAAAAATAGATGAAAAGGCTATGAAATGATGTTTTGCAGCTGACAGTGATTACAGTGATTATATATGAGATGGAAAAAAAAAAAAGAAAAAAAAAAGATTCTTATCTAACCTAAAATGATCTATGTAATTAAAGACATTTTATAGCTTCTGTTGAGCTTCATCTTCTGGTAGTCCCAGGATTTAAGTTTCATAGATAAGCTCTCATGTTGTACTGTGCATGTTGACTGCCTGTTGCAAGTCAGGGTTAGAGTGAGGCAGATGACACTACTTCAGCTGTGTTTTCATTACAATCTGGTGCTTGAGCAACTCTTTCAGAAATGCAACGATATGTAGGAACTCCACAGTCCCAGACACAGTGATGTGCTAGCTAGCTGAAAGTCCTTTTATGTACAGCTGTTGCGTAGAAATTTGGGAGTTATTTTGAGTTTGACTCAGTTTGTTTTTTTCATTGTTTCTTTTTATATTATGGACAATAAGTATTCCTCATGAAGTCTCTGGAATCAATTAATATTGTGGGTTATTTTAGTTTGGAGACACTTTCATAATAAACATAAATATTAGGAATGTACTGTCAGTTGCCTTCTTTCGCATGACATGCAAACAAGTTTTCCTTTGTTTTGACTCATAGTCTGGTATCCCCACTGCAGATGCCAGCATTTTTAGGACAAACCAAATGTGTCTTTGCAGCCCTTGTCACTGTGGTATTGTCTGGTATTTCTTGGTTGAGATGGTTTATATCAGTAAGTGTTAGAAGAGCAAGTTCTCTCTGTGAAAAAGAGACATTTTGCAAGGATTTCAAATATAAAATCCTGGAAGTTATCATTTCTGAATGTCCAGCTTTACTCGCTTCAGAAGAGCTGTCTTTTTCTCAGTCTAGATGGACTTCATAGATGGAGTTTTATAAAAATGGATGTTCTTTTGTATGTTTCAGGTTAGACGGTCAGTTGGTAAAGCAGCAATTCTAGTGTACTTAGTTGGAATTTCTTTCATATGCTCACAGTTGTAGAGTTTAGAAGATACCACCATCAGGCAGCCTGTGGTGCAGCACTAGAACACTATGAGGAACTACTTTAATGATGAGATGCATAGAAACACTCATACAACTTCAGAAGAAAAATTAGGTAACGTTTTTGCAAAACAGAAGTACCAGTTATATAGGAATATTCACACATCAGGTGGAAGTTTTTCTTCTGGAAGACAATTAAGTCTGGAGATTTACACTGTATTTCAAGAACTAATTACTGCAGTTGTTAATATGTCACCATGGTAATATGTAGAAAAAAAATCTTGCAGATTTAGCATATCATTTAAATTCTTGTTAATTTAAGAGATGTACTGGAAGATTTAGTTATTTGGGAATTTATCCAGTTATATGCTTAATGTCTTTTTCTTCCTGTTCCGTATGTACCACTCAACTTACATAGCACAGGTAACAGCAAGTGTGTACAGAAAATGGTTCAGAATAGCATATTAAAAAGCAAGCAAGAAAGAAAACAACAAGAATTTCTTGGTGTTCTGCCTTCAAGTCTGTAAAAATCTGCAAAAGCAGTGTGGTGGTTCTCAGAAGAATGCAGGAGGTCTGTGCTGCTTCAGAAGAGCTAAAACAGTGGCTGCCCACAGAGGTTGCTGTTTGTGAGTTTCCTGCAGGACAGGAGGTGAGTGGAAGGAATCCAGATATGTAAATGTGCTCAAATTTCAATGTGACTCAGTAGTTCATCACACTGTGATGGGCAGAACCTGGGAGCATGCATAGAGGGATTTTCTGCTCTGCACCATCAGTTCAGACTTTTCTAGTGCAGGTGGAGGGTTGCTGTTTCCCTAACTCATGCTGATGTTTTTTTGGTGCTCTTTTGTTGTTCTGCATGATGTTATTTGCACCCTTTATCTTATTTTACACTGCTTATCTTTGTCAGTATGTTGCCTCTGAAGTGTAGTTCACAAAAGAGAATGCCAATTTGTGCTCAGGTACAGAGGAGCCCTGGATGATTTTAATGTGATTATCACATTTTTTCAGAGATCCTATGTTTATTTTATTGGGGAATTTTAAAGTATAAACACACCCTTTATTAAAAAGTGTAAGACATATCAAATGAATAATGCTATGAGTAGTGAGAATGAAATTAGAATGCATGTTGGGCTAATTTAAGTGTCAGAATTCTTACTAGTGATTGAACATTCCCTCTGCACTCTCAAAGCCATTGCCCAGTGAAAACTTAAGTGCTAAGCAGCTGCCTTTAAGTTTGATAATACTAAACCTTTCTGTGCAAGGCAAATGCAAATTAATTCTGCAAACGAGATTATTTTATTTTTGCACGTGTTCTGTGAAGCTTAGCTATGCATATGTTAGAGGGGCAGAGGCTTAGCACTAGAGAATAGCTGGCTTTCCCTAGTTAGTTGGTGCTGGTCCGTTGGAGGAGTCACAATATTTGCTTTGCTTTGCACAAAGGAAACAAGTGAGGCTGGCTGTAGGAGGCAGCCCGTGCTTGTGGAAACCATTGAAGAACATTGTGAAAATATGCTTTAGAAAGTAGTATGCTAGTAATATGCTAATAGAAGAAAAGCACAGAAAGATTTTCTTGGAAGGTCCTACTGTCATGAAATTCAGAGTTAATGTTCAGTGTGAGACACTATGGATTTCCACATAAAACAGACTGCAGAAACCCCTAAGATTAGGTACGCTGGCAAAATAAACAGATGGAGGTAAAGTGTTCTGAGGGAAGAGTAACCCTACAGGTGCAGAGACAGTGGGAGAAAAAATTGAAAATAAATAGAGCTGACAAAAATTTTGGAACATTAAGCACAGCAAATTGGACTAGAGCTTGTATTGTTAGATGTCAGGAGAAAAAACTGCCAGTGCAGTTGTGAGACAATCTGAAAAGGTAACGTTCAGCAGGAAAGATGACTGTCTCCTCTGTACAGCTTGAGTGCTGATGGTCTCAGTAGCCTTCTTGATTCAGAGATATCAGAGCAGCCATCAAAAGACTGATTAATATATTTTAAAATAGGTAATACTTCGAACACTGCATTTTACATGCAAAATCAAAAAACAGAGGCATTGTAGCAGACTCTTCAGAGTCGCGTTAGGCCTGAAAGTAAGGACTATCTGCACTCAAATGAGTGTTCAAATAAATAATAATTTTCTCAAAGTTAGAGTTTTGAGTCTACAGTATTTTAGCATAAATGAATTGTTCAAAATGCCTTAAAAATAGAAGAGATTCCTCCACACACCCCATTACTGGGAGTCAGCTTCCTCAGTTTTCAGTTCAGTGAGGCATCTAAGCACACAGCTCACCTCCTCCCTGATTAGTAGTCATATAGACACATTTCAGTTGCCTTGATGTCACTGACGAGTTGTGCAGCTGAAACTGTAATCAGTGTAGACATAAAATAGAGCTGACATTACTGTTTCTTGGAGTATTATACTCCATAGCAATCTGCACAGAAATGACGACCAGATCTGACCACCTGCTTAGACTGATTATTCATCTGGGGGCTCTGCTTGTGAGAGGTGATGACCCAGTAAGTCAAAAACCCCATAAATAGGAGAGGTCCAGGAAAAACAGATTCCTGCCTTGCTGAAATTCCCAGGGTATCTGCCTGTGGCCACTGAGATTGCTGACAGTTAAATCTTTAAAATGTCTGTGTGCTACTCTTGCAACCAGCACAAAACAGAGCTTTTGTGCCATATTTAAGCCAATTTTTGCAGTCTTCCCACTTAAATATCAATAATTAAGAAATCCTGAAATCAGGAGAGAAATTCTGATCTTTCCTAACCAAAATTGCATCAACACTCTTCTGTGTCTACCAAACTAATAGTTTTCAGTCCAATTTCTGCATTCATTTGGAAGATTACGTCCCCTTTTAACTCCAAGCGACAGTCATGTTAATTACTGCTGCTCTCTTAAGGTATCTTTGAAAGAGCTGCAGAAGGGTTTGCTATTTTCTGATTGTATTGGCCTAATCTCTCATCTGTGTAATTTTAATCTAATTTAATTCAGCCAAATACTGACCCTGCTATAGCTGCCAACATCGAAGCATCTTGGATTACATGCTGTGCACTCTCTGATCAGAGAAATAAGATCAGCAGTGTTTGCTACTAGGACTTTTGAATTGTTTTCACAAAACAAGGATCCGTTAATTCAGTTAAGGTTCCTTTGGTGCCTTCTGTGCTATAATCACTCCCCTTTCTTCTTTCTTTATTCAGTTTTCCTTCCTCATATATGGATTTCCTGTTTTGTACCAAACAGTAAGGTTGAGAAATTTCAGTTGAAGGAAATTTCAGCTGGACCAGCCGAGGCAGAAAAACTGATATTCTTACATAAATTGCAAGAACATTGACTGCAAATTCGGTATTCTTGATTTGTTGCAGTGCCACTAGTAGAGTACTTAGTGAAGGTGGTGCCTGCAGTCCCAGACTGTCAGAACCATGGGCTAAATCCTGAGAAGTCTGGAGCCTAAAATGACAGATAATTGCTGCAGAGTTGCAGATGACAGCATTGAGGACTGCGTGTCAGAAGCGATTTACCTTTCCTGTAGAAGCAGGATTTTATCAGATGGCTTGTCTGTCTATGCGCAAAGTATAGGATAATACAGGCTGGTAAGTCATGCTAATGGTGGCTAATGTTAAAATAACAGAATAATCAGTTTGCTGCCTTGTCTTTGCATTAATGGGTCTGTGTCGGACTTGGAATTAGACATGCAAGCTTGTTAGCTTCATTTGGAAGAGCAAGTATTAGTTACTTATCTGTTCTTATTTTTAATAGATGACATAATCACTTATTTAATAGGTAGTACACCACTCACAAGGTCTCCTCTCTATCACTTCTGTGTTCTCCTTGCTTAGCCAAAAAGTTGATGTATGCAGTCTGGTCTTAAATGCCTGAAATCTTTTTGGTAATGGCCTTTGGTTTTAAGTAAATAGAACACACTTCTAAGTAAGTCAAAGCAATAGCAACAAATAATTGGTATTTGTTTAACAGGCCTCTTTCTCTGCTGAGACAGTTATTCCAGCTGAAGCTCTGGTGCAGAAGATACAGGATACTGAAGAACTGGGCCCATGATGCAGTACTTGGTGCAAAAGAGTTTGTTGAGCCAAGTCAGCCAACGTGCATGTTTCCTTACCAAAAAGTGAGTCAATAGCAATTAGCATTGTTCAACACACTGTGATCTGAGAAAAGGGAAATTGGATTAACACTAATTGCATCTTATTTCAATTCATCATTTCGGTGTACAGACACTTTAAAATATACATAAGGCCATATGAAAAACAGCGTGCACTTACATGATTAAACATTATAACATCCCTAAAAATGTATCAGAA